TTGAACGAATCTACGTATGTTTTTGTTTATATGTGTATCTCGATACCAGTCTACAGTCATAGTATATTGGAGTCTTATACTTATACTGTGCAATATGGGTTTGTTTGTTCGATAGTACAAACATTGACATTGTCATAATATGTGTTTGTTTGTGGGAATCCCTTATTTTGGATTAAAGTTTTGTCAAAAATTTTGTTTTAACGTGCCCTATTTGACATCGATGTATATTCGTAGAAAAAAATCACATCGGTACTTCTATATGACCCTCAGGGTGTAGGTTACTTCGTTTGATCGAATACAAATCTTACAGCTCGCAAGCTTTGTGTCGTATGCATGTTTTCGGCTAGCTTTTTATTGTTGGTTCGTTTGTGGATATTTAGCTGAGGTCGACAACCATCACATCAGCTCAAAGTATTCAAAATCATATTTCTTTTGTCAGGTGATCCTCACGGCCAGTGGTATCATCGCAGTCCTGTATGGATACCACGAGCAGTCCTTCGAAAAGTCCATGATCGTCTTTGGAGTGGGCGCGGCAATCACCTTCCTGTTGACTCTTCCGCCCTGGCCCTTCTATGCGAAGGATCCTGTCAAGTGGCTCCCAGCTGACTCATCAAGTCAAGCAAAATAAATTAGATGCTATATATACTACTAGTACGCTAGTATTTACTGCCCTTGATGCTTTGCATGACTTTTTGCTCTCTTCCTTTCACACTCTGTCTGTGTTTGTGACGCGAGCTGGCGCGGCGACGACTGTGTGTATATCACGCGATGCTGCTGTAAGAGGCGTATATGTAGGATGCTCCATAGGGTCCGTTAGGTAAAATGGGGTGTTACATTAGCAACTGCGCTAGAGTAGAGCGGGGTGGGCTAATTCTAATTAGAATATATACATCATATATACCTCAAAAGTTCGTGGACGATATCGCTGAGTTAAGAATGCTCGTTCATTGCGGACACGAGTATCAACATGTTTTTAATAGATGTAAATGTATGAGTTTCGCATATATCGAATTGACAAGAGATATTATTTATTCTCAAGGGTTCGCAACGTAAAAAAAAAGATTATTTATTAAGTCAGTGTAGGAAAGGTTGCCAGAACAGGTTATCCTCGTAGTCGACTACTACAAAGATTGTAGGAAAGGTTGCCAAAACAGGTTATCCTCGTAGTCGACTACTACAAAGATTGTAGGAAAGGTTGCCAAAACAGGTTATCCTCGTAGTCGACTACTACAAAGAACCATATATTGGTCAGAGTATACTCTCGCATGGCGTTCCATCCAGCGGGTACATGCATACTCCATAATTCACTCCATAATTCTTGGAAACGGTGTTGCTATGCACAGTACGCGCGATAATATCCACATAAAGATTTTTGACAGTATCGATAATTGTTCTATGGTTCTAAGGTGCGTCTTCTACTGCGTGGCATGGAATTCCACCCAACCATTGTTGGTATCCATGTATGTCGTTTCCACGCCTTGCTCCACCATTCGTTCTCGCAATTTTGAATTACTCAACCCATTGATACCCTCATATTGGAATATCCACATAGGTTTTGATCCAGTAAGTAGATTAGGACTGCCGTTGTAGTTGTCAATATCGTACGGGTACCAGTTGAAGAGGGATTCTACAATATAAGCATCGAATTTGTGTATTATACTAGGTTCGTTCACATAGAAGGAAGGGTTCTTCAACGCCACTTTCATACCAATAGAATGTGCATAGTCTACGATGCCTGCCATGTACTCGACATATCGTGGGTCAATGCGGTCATTCGCACGATGCCTTGCAGCTACTGAATCATTATCAGTTACTGCGTCTGATGGTTTGGCATTGTCTGTGCTGATCGCATTGAAGCCCTGCGCTTTGTAGTCGTCCATGATGTCTTTCATTATGGGCAAGATATGTGGAACAAGATCATCTGGGTTAAACCAATGATCCCCCCAAAGTCCTCCTTGGCCATTTGAATCACTGTTTTCCTCCCAGGTATAGGCAGATAGCCTAGGGTCGGCAGGAAAGTCTGTGTTTACAGTGCCTACCGACAAGTAGGCCATGGATGTAACGGCAGAATTTTTTAATCCAGCTGATACTGCACTACTTCTGTCACCTACCGAAGAGAAAATCCAATCAGCTCCTGTACAGTCAGTCTTTCCGCTTGAACCACTATTGGACCATGCACGGTTGCAGATGGCTTCTGTAGAAGATCTGTAGCCACGTTTCGAGAGTGCCTTTGCATTTGTGTTGCAAGCAAGTGCTAGTAGTAAAACGGAAGCTTTTATGGACATCATATTGGAGTACAAGTTTGTGTCAGGGTTAGAAAATGACTTCACAGCACCTCAATTTATAGTATTTTGAATTTTTGATGGCTTTCTCTTGAATCTCCTAAATGCAAAATACACTGCATATCTACAGCAAAGAACTAAAGAAACTGCACCTGGCCGCTTGTTTTGTGCTGTGCAGCCTGTGCTGTGGCCTGTGCTGTGCAAAACATACCGTTTTAGAACAAGAAAAACCATAGCCTTCTAATTTGAAACAAAAATGATGATCAGTCGTGGAGTTGTGGACTCTCGTAGACGTCGTGGATCCTCTTGGCTTGTCTGTCCCATATTCTTAGTTACAATATATCGAAGTATTTTATTTTAAAACTCCAATACAATCACAGAATCGTTTACGAACGAGCTCAGAAAACAAAATTTCAGATATTTATTTACAACGGTCAACGGACAGTCGGCAGTCGGACTCTCACTCTCACAGTCATGGCTTTCGGCACGGAGACAGATTAAAATTTGATATTTTTATTAAAAAATCCAAAAGGTATTTTCTACTCTCAAGAATATATGGATTGTATACCAAAAGAATATATATTGTAATTTTAAAAAAAATCTATGACTGTTTGTTTTTATATATTCCTTTTATATATTTTTCTTAAAACAACAAGACCAACTACATACAGACGTAATTTGTGATGTATTTATTTACAGCACACACATATTTTTTATTTTGTGTATATGTAATTTACTTCGAAATAGAAAATGACATGTTTGTCGTTTGTTTTAAGATAAATTAAAAACCCAAAAAAAACCCCCCAATCCATCTCAACACAGTTCATCAAATTATTTATAAAAATGCTGCAATTTATTAGTGTTGCTTTTTTATATAAAAACAAATAGAAAATTGCTTTATTTACAAAAATGGGCCATGTACCACATGCCGCCTTGACGATGAGGTCCTACCGACCTGGGATCTGGGCCCTTATAGCAACTGGCAATGGTGCGCTTTTTATTAAAAAAATAATGTTGCTATGGCTGTTGGGCGTTGGCTCCTTCCTGATGGTGAAATCTGAATTTTGCGTTATTTTCGATCCAAACAAATTCAAATGTATTCAGAGAAATTGCCTTTTTTGAACGTCGCATCGCCAGAGGCCAGAGGCCAGGTCCCCATTTCTCTACTCTCTACTCCATTCCTCAGACTCAGAGTCAAACTCCAAGAGTCCACCCTCCAGCAGAGTTCCAGACTCGCCAGAGAGGAAAGGGATATGAGTAATGAGGGCATGCCAGCAGCCATTATAATCCTCGTCAAAAATAAAATAGGACTAGCACGTGCCACGTGGTATCTACAGTTCTGCACGTTAAAAAATACACAACATTTGACAAATAAATGACAACAGTCAAGTGTTAACACTCAACAGATAGTCAAGTGACTTTGAAGTGAGACAACAGTAATCAACATACGACAAAAAAAGTATAAATAGTCAGTGTACAGTTACTACAGTCAGTACACTGTACAGTCATCACTCAACAGTGTCAACACTGTTGAGTGGTGTTTGCACTTTGCAGTCATCACAGAGACACAGACTCACAGTGAGTCAGTAACAGTCACAAAAATGTGGCTTTTATTTTTAAAATAAAAATTTAATGCTCTATATTTTATACATCGATTGTTATCTATTTGTTGCTTATCCATCAGTCCGTCACTGATTACTCACTGAGTCACGGTTGTCGCCGCCTGTCGCGCTCTCATCACACGAGAGTATTTTGTTTTAAAACAATAACAAAAAGTTACAAACTTACATACAATACACAAGGTTTTAGTTATTGTTTTGTATTAAAAAAAACAAAAACAACAACAAAATGAAACGAATACCAATATTTATTTATTTTAAAAATGCCAAAATTGAAGAAGAAAAAATCAATATCCGATTAGTGATAATTTCTATTATTTACTCCAGTACTCTCAGTCTCGCATCATTATTAGTTGACTGTTCCAGTTGCAAATTTGCAGCGGCGAAGTGCCAAACGGCCTGGGGCCCGGGCCGCCCGGCCTTACTACGCAGCCTATTACCTCAACGTTCCGCCATATGGGGTTTACGATCATAGATTAACGTTTATCTGGTAACGTCGGAACGTACATAATACAATATTGGCCTAAAAAACGACTAGCGCGACCTACATAGTGCATCTACTACTATATACTTGGCCACATCATTCTGTATAGATTAAAGAACGAGCGAGTATATTTAAGGGCAAATCTTGACGACATGTTAAATCTAGTAAAATTTACCACATTCTCATGTATGCTGGACCGAACTATAGTAATATTCGGGTAGAATTTAAACGTAGGAACGTTATACGTTATAAGATTAGGCTCAAGCAGCCAGGACACTAGGGCCCCAGGGCTGAGTCGTTAAGGGCGCAAGGCCGCAGGCTCGCAGAAACGCAGAAAAGGGGATTTCGAGTGTGTGCTCAACTACTCACACTGATTTGGTGATCAGTTAAAAGCTTGTAAATACTGTCAAGTGTGAACTGTGAACTGTGAACTGTGAACTGTGAACTGTGAACTGTGAACTGTGAAGTGTGAAGTGTGAAGTGTGAAGTGTGAAGTGTGAAGTGTGATGTGTGAACTTTAAACTGTTACACCTCGACTTTACGACTCAAGTACGCGTCGGTGCGTTTACTGTATTTTTAAATAAATAAATACTACTGCGAGCGTGTGGGAGCAGGGAGACTGGGAGTTTGTATTTATTTTGTATATTATTTTAATATTAAAAAATACCTAACAGGCTTTCTGAGTAAATATTTGAGAAGGTAAAAACCACATGTTTACACTGTTTATCCAACTTTCAGTTTTAACTTTCAAGGCTTCCAAGTTTCGACCAACTTTGATTCCTATTTTGTTTTCTAAAAAATATAAATATGATGAGTTGATGACCAGCCTCCAGGTAAGTGTCAGTGAGGTGACTCATGAGTCATGAGTTTGGTAGCAATGTAAAATAGGTGTCCACACTCCACACTCCGCAGTGGCACAGTCCTCTGTCCAGGACTCCAGCATCCGGGACTTTTAGACCCTGTTGTCTGGTGTGCCAATTTAAAAAGCCATTTTTAAAAAACAACTTGTGTGTCTCATTTGTTTTTAATAAAAAAAGGACTACATATGGCTCTTTTTTGAAAAAGGCAAATATTTTTAAACATTTTTTTGTTAAAAAATATCAAAAGAGAATAAAAAGTTTCATTTTATATTTGAAAGGCAATTGATACAAGAAGGTATTTATTCTAACACAAAAAAAGTTGGACAATTTAGCATGTGCCAAAATCCCATGTGGTCATGATGTGGATTGTGGACAGCTCTCATTTTTTTTTTCTTTCATGTTTTGTAAATATAAAAACCACCAAAAAACAGGCATAGCCTTCTAAATTATATAAACATAAGGCTATGAAACAGCGCCACTGCTACACACTCACGTGCCGAAGCCCAAAAGTCGGAAAACTTTTTTTAATAAAAATAGTCGATTTGATTTTTGTTTTTGTTTGTTTCCCCTCCCCTGTTTCTTGAAGGCGTGGACTTAAAAATAGTGTAGACGTGGGGCGGGGGTCGTCGGCCCTTTAGGCCGCGAGATCTGCTTCAGATATTCTTCGGGAAGTTCGGGCTTCGGTTTTATTTTTTATTTCCATAAAAAAGTGTGTTCAGAAGTTCAGCTACGATATGGATTCAGAGACAAGCCTGCATTCAGATGACTAAAATAATAGCTTCAGCATACACGCTACACGGTACACACTAGACACTACACAAGTTTTTTTTAAATCATATGCCTTCTATAATTCAAATTTCACGGTGTATTTTATTTCTTAAGTATAAAAAAAAATCATGTTCGAGTCACATGGTGCTTTTATAGAAGGCTATGATACGTGCAAGTTGTGCACTGAAATAGTGCAAGATTTAATTAAAAATTATATGTGCCACGTATATTTTCCGAATTCATATTAAATGTCAATATTGAGTTAGCCAAAACAAGACCTCTTCTCACCTGATCTGGTCATCTGACACCAATCAGACAGTCCAAGTGGTATGGCTCCAAGGAGTCCAAGCCTCGCCGCCTCTTGGTTAGTCATGTAATTCAGATCTCAGGGGTACTAAGGCCTATGAGCTCGAGGCGAAGAAAAGAGGGTCCCGCCCAGCGATGGCTCTTTTGAAGGATGTTACACCGGAGACGAAGTTGGAACTAGAGGTCTATATCAGCAAGATTGTTATTGAGACGAAAAGTCTGTACATCGCGGCTGCAGCATTGTATCTAGCTTTTAAGGACCCATTTGAAGTGAGCGGAACCCAGGCAGATTTTGCGAAGGCAATAGGAGGGTGGGGATCCAAGCCTGAAAAGGTTATTTCGCATCTTCGTGAGATTTAAAACTATGGTGCTCGGCATGTTGCGGCGAAAGCTGGAGCAAAGAAAGTGCTCCCAGAACGGGATCCATTTACTGAGGTGCCTTTTGAGGACGAACAGAGCGAAAGTGAGACTGACGAGGAAGTCGCTAGTGACAGTGACAGCAGTGATAACAGCGAAAGTAGCGACAGTGAGGATGAGGATGCTAAGAAGAAGAAAGGAGTGCCCGCAGTGAAGGCAGCTACAGTAGGGAAGAAGGCTGAAGCAACATCATAAGCTGAAGCACCAGAACGTAGTAGAAGCACTCAAAGATGTTAAGCGACATGGGATCACGCACCCTAAGCTGGCAACTTTAGTTGACAGAGTATATCAGTCATGCACAGACTGTGAACTGTGATCTCAATCAGATCAAGCGCTATGGTTTCGCACCGCTTAAGAGTGAGACTGAAGATGTTCCATGGCGCAGGGTCATCATTGATCTGGTTGACCTGCCCACGTCCGAGCACACAGGCTACCGTTACGTATGCCACTTCTTTGATGTGGCGTCACGGTTTAACTTGCTCTATCCATTAAATGATAAGAATACGCAGACCGTGGCAGAATTATGTTGCCCAGTCTTTGCTGACCACGGGTGGCCGGGTATTATGTGCACTGATAACGGTAGTGAGTTCTGCGATGACGTTATGGAATCGCTAGTACTCGTATCAGGCATATGCCATAAGAGAGGAGTGCCATATAAGCCGCAAACGCAAGGCGCGAATGAAACGCGCCATAGAAGACTTAAGTTCTTCTTGCGTACTGCATTAG